ACAAGGTTCATGTTCAGATTGAAGTCCAAATCCTGACTTTGTGGGGGAAAGTACCACCTAAACACTGATTCTAAACTTTTATTTTGAGATAATTCTAAGTGTACATACAGTTGTAATAAATAATACAGAGAGAATCTGCAACATTCACCTAGTTTTTCTCAATGGTAACATCGAATAAAACTGTAGTACCATATTACAGGTAGGATGTTGCCATTGATGCAGCTGAGACACACAACAGCTCCATCACTGCAGGCATCCCTAGGTTTCCACACTCACTTTCCTACACCCTCATGTTAACCCCTGACAATCACTTATTTATTCTTCATTTCTAGAGTTTTGCTTTTTAAGAATGTTATATTTAGAATCATATAGTAGCTACTTACTTTTCCAGATTTTGTTTTTCACTCGGCATAATTCCCTGGAGAATCATCCAAGTTGTATATATCAATAGTTTCTTTTTTCTGATTAGTAATCTACAGTATGAATGTATCACAGTTTATTTATCTATTCATCCATTCAGGAACATCGGAGTTGTTTCTAAGTTTTGGCTATTATGACCAATGTTACTATGAACATTGTATACAGTATTTTGTGTGAATATTTTTTTTCTTTATCTGAGATAAATATCTAGGTGTGTGATTGCTGGGCCATATGGTGGATGCAAGTTTTGTTTTATAAAGTGTTTTGCAGAATGATTACAATACTTCATATCCTTTCCTGCAATAATTCAGTTTCTCCATATCCTCTTCAGTCTTGGTGTTGTCATTATTTTGTGTTGAAAGTTGTATAGTGACATGATAATGGCTGTGTAGTGATATTTCATTGTGCTTGAAAAGTCAGGGTCTTGCTATGTTGCCTAGGCTGGTCTTGAACTTCTGGGCTCAAATAATCCTCCCAGCTCATCTACGCATATAGTTGGGACCACAATCATTTGCCACCTTGCCTGCTTCGTTGTGCTTTTAATATGCATTTCCCTTATAACTAATCACATTAAACATCTTTTTATGTGTTTATTTGCCTGCCATATATTCAGTTCAGTAAAATGTCTATAAACCTTTTGCCCATTTTCTAATTGAATTGTTTGTGGGTTTTGTTGTGGTTTTGAGGTTCTTTTCATACACTAGGTACCAGTCCTCTGTAGGATATAAGGTTTGCAAATATTTTCTCCTACTCTCATAGCTTGTTTTCTTAGTCTCTCAGTCAAGTCTTTCATGAGACAAATTTTTAAAATTTTTATGAAGTCTATTGCGCTATTTTTTAATGAATTCTGCTTTTGGTGTAAAATATAAGAACTATGTGCCTAACGCTACATAACAACATTTTCTACATTTTTTCTCTAAACTTTTTATAGTTTTATGTTTTACATTAAAGTCTATGATATATTTTGGTATTTTTTTTTAGTAAGATGTGAGTTTTAAGTTAATCTTTTTGTTTTTCTCTGTTGCATATTCAAGCTTTTTATTCCTCCATTGATTTCCTTTTACACCTTTGTCAAAACTCAGGCTTACTGGTGTGTATTTCTGGCTTGTCCAGTGCACTCTACTAAGCAAAACGTCTATCTCTCTAACAATATCTCACCTTGATAACTGTAGCTACTAAATAGACCTTTACATTAGGTAAAGTGATTCCTCCAACTGTGTTCTTTATATCAATATTATAATTGTTATTCTTATGTTTTGGTTATTGATTTTAGAATATGTGTTTCTATTCTATTCTTATATGTTGATTTTAGAATATGTATTTATAGTCTTCAAAATATTCTTGTTTTAATTGCATTAAACCTGTACAAAAATTTTAGGAGAATTGTCATTTTTAGTAGGTTGAATCCTCTGATCCACAAAAATGTTGTCTTTTCATTTATTTAGTTTTCTTTGATATCTTTCATGAATAATTTGTAAACTTCAGCATAGATTATCTGTAAATGTTCTAATAAATTATTTAATTGGCTTGGAAGTAATTACAAATAGTATGTTTTAAATTTTAAATTTTTAATTTCTGTGGCATATAGTATGTGTATACATTGATGGGGTGAATGGGATGTTGATGCAAGAATGCAACATAAAATAATCACATCATGGAGATGGAGTATTCATCCCCTCAGGCATTTATCCTTTGAGTTATAAATCAGTTATACCCGCTAAGATATTTTAAAATGTACAATAGTAGGTCTTATTCATTCTTTCTATTTTTTGTACTCATTAACCATTCCCACTTCAACTCTCACACTCCCACTGTCATTGCCAGTCTCTGCTAACCATTGTTTTACTATGTCCATGAGTACAATTGTGATTTTTAGATTCCATAAATAAGTGAAGACATAGGATGTTTGTCTTTCTGTGCCTGGTTTAGTTCACTTAACACAATGATTTCTAGTTCCATCTACATTGATGCAAATGATGATCTCATTCTTTTTACAGCTCAATAGTATTCCAGTATGTATATGGACCACATTTTGTTTATCCATTCATCTGTTGATGGACACTTAGGTTGTTTCCAGATCTTGGCTATTGTAAATAATGCTGAAACATACATAGGAATGTAAATATATCTTTGATATACTGTTTTCTCTTCTTTTGAGTGTATACCCAGAGATGGGATTACTGGATCATATTGTAGCTCAATTATAAGTCTTTTGAGGAAGCTCCAAACTGTTCTCCATAGTTGTTGTAATAATTTCCATTCCTTTCAATAGTGTACAAGGGTTCCCTTTTCTCTAGCATTTATTATTGTCTGTCTTTTAGATATAAAAGCCATTTTAAAAGGGAAGGTAATACCTCATTGTAGTTTTGATTTGCATTTCTCTGGTAATGATGTTAAGCATTTTTTTTAATTGTACTTTAGGTTCTGGGGTACATGTGCAGATCATGCAGGATTGTTGCATAGGTACATACATGGCAAGGTGGTTTGCTGCCTTCATCCCCCATTAACCTAATCTGGTATTTCTCCCCTCATTATCCTTCCCTACCCTGCCCACCCCTGCTCTCCCTCCCCTAACCCTCCCCTACTGACCACAGTGTGTGATGCTCCCTTCCCTGTGTCCACAGGTTCTAATAGTTCAACATCCACCTATCAGTGATAACATATGGTGTTTGATTTTATGTTCTTGTGTCAGTTTGCTGAGTATGATGGCTTCCAGATTCATCCATCTCCCTGTGAAGGACACGAACTCATCATTTTTTATGGCTGCGTAGTATTCCATAGTATATATGTGCCACATTTACTTTATCCAGTCTATCAATGATGGACACTTGGATTGGATGTTGAGCATTTTTATATGCCTGTTAATCATGTGTGTGTTTTAAGAATTATCTATTCAATTGGTTTGCCTATTTTTTTAATTGAATTTTTAGATGTTTTCCTATAGAGTTGCTTGAGCTCCTTATGTATTCTGGTTATTAATCCCTTGTCAGTTGGATAGTTTGCAAATATTTTCTCCCAGTCTTCACTTTGTTGACTCACTTTGTTGATTGTAACAGCAAAAGTTTTTCAGCTTGATTTGATCCTGTTTGTCCATTCTTGCCTTTGTTGTCTGTGTTTGTGGGAGTATTGCTCAATACATTTTTGCCCAGACTAATTTTTTTTTAATTTTTGGTGTTCCCTTCCATTTCTTTCATCAGGATGTTAAAGTTTCATTATGGACATTTTTCACTTCCTTGGTTAATTCCTAGGCGATTAATTTTATGTGTGCTCTTGTAAATTGAATTACTTTTTAAATTATTTTTCAGATGTTTCACTGTTGGCATAAAAAAATGCTACTAAATTTGTATGTTGATTTTGTATCCTGCAACTTCAATAAATGTGTTTATCAGTTCTAATTATTTGGAGGGGCCTTTAGATTTTTCAAAGTATAATATCATATAATCTGCAAACAAGGATAATTTGACTTGTTCATTTTGAATTTGGATGCCCAACTCTTTTGCTTGTCTGATGGCTCTAGGTAGGACTTCCAATATTATGGGGAATAACAGTGGTGAAAAATGGGCATTGTCCTTGTGTTCCAGATCTCAGAAGAAAGGCTTTCAGTTTTTCCACATTCAGTTGATACTAGCTTTGGGTCTGTCACATAGAGCTTTTATTTTGTTGAGGTATGTACCTTCTATACACAGTTTTTTGGGGGATTTTATCACGAAGAGATGTTTAATTTTTTCAAATGATTTTTAGATCTATTGATAGGATCATATGGTTTTGATCCTTCATTTTGTTGATTTGATGTACCACCTCGATTGGTTAGTGCATGTTGTATCATCCTTGCATCCCAGGGATAAACCCACTTGGTCATGATGAATGATTTCTCTAATGCATTGGTGAATTCAGTTTGCTAGTGTTTTGTGGAGGATTTTTGCAGCAATATTCATCAGAGATTTTGGCTTGTGGTTTTCTTTTTTTGATGTGTCTTTGTCTGGTTTTGGTATCAAGGTAATATTGATTTTATAGAATGAGTTTGGAAGTATTCTATCCTCTTCTATTTTCTGGAATAGTTTGAGTAAGTCTGGTATTTGTTCCGCTTTAAATGTTTATTTGATTGGATTCAGCAGTGAAGCCATCAGGCTCCAGGCTTTTCTTTACACACACATATATATATATATATATATATATATATATATATATATATATATATATATATTTTATTATGGCTTTGACCTTGTTACTTCTTATTGGTCTGTTCAGGTTTTGGATCTCTTCTTTGCTTAATCTCAGTAGATGGTATTGTGTCTAGAAATTTGTCCATTTATTCTAGATTTTCCAATTTGCTGGCATATGGTTACTCATAGTAACTATTAATGACCTTTTGGTAGTATCAGTTTTAATGACTCCTGTTTGGTTTCTGATTTTACTTATTTGTATCTTTTTTTCTTAGTTTGGCTAGAGGTTTGTCAATTTATTTAACTTTTTGAAAACCAACTTTTTTGTTTCATTGATATTTTGTACTTTTTTTAAAAAAAACAAATCTGTATTGTCTAGAAATATATATATTTATATTAAAATCCTTGGGCCTGGGGTCAGGAAAAAAAGAAGAAAAAATTCCCCCACAAACTCATTTCTCTCATTTCCCAGTCTCCTTCCTCCTCTTCTACACCTCTGATATAAAGGACATTATGACACCTTATTAAAACTTCACCCAGATGTCCAGACAACACTTCATCTATGTATTCTTCTGTATTTGCAAGCTGCATGTTCACGTAGCCATCTACAGATACCAGGTAGCCCTTGTACTCCATTCCCCACTTAAGTCTCACCATCACTGGCTTTCCTGTTAGTCCACTGAGGAAAGGTTTGGGATTGAGGGGTAAACTCATCTTAATCACGGGCTAATGCTGCAGGCTGCTTGCTACCAACCAGGCCGCCACTCATCCCTTGTGACTATAGCAGGTACCGCAAGTCCGGAACCAATATTTTGTACTTTAAAAAAAAATTTCTATTTCATTTATTTCTGCTCTAATCTTCATTGTTTATTTTCTTCTACTAATTTTGGGTTTCATTTGCACATGCATTTCTAGTTCTTTAAGATGCATTGTTACACTATTTATTTGAAATCTTTCCTCTTTTTTGATGTGAGAACTTACAAACTTCCCTCTGAAAACTGTTTTTGTGGTATGTCATAGGTTTTGGTATGCTGTGTCTACATTATCATTTGTTTCAAGCAATTTTTCCATTTCCTTCTTATTTTCTTCATTGACCCCCTGGTCATTGAGGAGCACATGGTTTAATTTCCATGTATTTGTATAGTTTAAAAACTTCCTCTAGTTATTAATTTCTAGTTTTATTTTATTGTGGTCTGAGAAGATGGCTTGATATTATTTCAATTTTTTGAATGTTTTCAGACTTGTTTTGAGACCTAATATATAGTCTACCACTGATAATGATCCATGTGCTGAGGGAAAGAATGTGTATTTTGTAGCCAGTAAATGAAATGTTCTATAAATATCTATTATATCCATTTGGTCTGTAGTGCAGAATAAGTAAGATGTTTCTTTGTTGATTTTCCATCTCAAAGTGGGAGGTTGAAGTGGGAGGCTGAAAGTAAAAGGTTGAAGTTTCCAGTTATCATTATATTTGGACATATTTCTCTTTTCAGTTCTAATAATGTTTCCTTTATATATTTGGGTGCCCCAGTGTTGGGTATTTAAAATTGTTACATATCCTCTAACTGAATTGATGCCTTTGTCATTATATAGTGACCTTCTTTGTAGCTTCATATAGTTTACGTCTTGAAATCTATTTTGTCTGATGTAAATATAGCAATTCCTGCATTTTTCAGTTTTAATCGGCAATAAATATCCTTTTCCATACTTTTCAGTTTATGTGTATCTTTATAGGTCAAGTGTATTTCTAATAGGCAACATTTTAATGGATCCTGTTTTTTCATTTATTCAGCCAGTCAACGTCTTTCGATTGAAAAATTTAGTCCTTCTTTTTTTCTGGTTGTTTTGTGGCCTTCTCTTCCTTCTTACTTTCTTTCCTGTCTTCCCCTTAGTGAAGGTGATTTTCTCCAGTGATAAGACTTAGTTTCTTGTTTTTTAGTTTTTGTGTATCTATTGTACATTTTTGGTTTCAGATTACTATGAGGCTTGCAAACATTGTTTTATAACCCATTATTTTAATCTGATAAGAACTTAACACTGTTTGCACAAACATGGAAGAAAAAACTACTTAAACTCTATGCCTTGGCTTCTTCCCCTCATTAAATTTTCCTTTATTAAATTGTTTTTTATTCACACCTTAGTGTAATGACTATGTCTAGAAAATTGCTGTAGTTATTATTTTTGAATGCTTTATAATTTAGTCTTTCTATTCAGGATAAGAGTAGTTAACACACCACTATTACAGTGTTACAATATTCTGTGTTTTTCTGTTTACTTACTAAGGCCAGTGAGTTACATACCTTTAGATGATTTCTTACTGCTAATTAACGTCCTTTCCTTGTGGTCAAAGTCATCCCTTTAGCATTTCTTGTAGGAAAGAGCTGGTGTTGATGAAATCCCTCAGCTTTAGTTTATCTGGGAAGGTTTTTATTTCTTCTTTATATTTGCAAGATATTTCTAATAAATACACTTTTCTAGAGTAAGCATTTATTTTTTTCCTTCAGCACTTGAGATACCTCATACCACTGTCTCCCGGCTTGTAAATTTCCACTGAAAAGTTGGCTGCCAGAGCTATTGGAGTTCCATTGTATGCTATTTCTTTTTCTTTGATGCTTTTAGAATCCTTTCTTTACCATTGACTTTTGAGAGTTTGATAGTTAAATGCCTTGAGGTAGTCTTCTTTGGGTTAAATCTGCTTGGTGTTCCATAACCTTCTTGTAGTTGGATATTGATATTGAGAGTTTGATAATTAAATACCTTGAAGTAGTCTTCTTTGGGTTGTCTGCTTGGTGTTCTATAATCTTGGATATTGATATCTTTCTCTGGGCTTGGGAAATTCTCTGTTAGTCCTTTTGAATAAATATTCTATCCCTATCTTTTTCTCTACCTTCTTTTAAGGCCAATAACTCTTAGATTTACCCATTTGAGGATATTTGCTAGATCCTATAGGCAGTGTATTGTTTTTTTAATTCTTTTGTCTCCTCTGACTGTGTATTTTCAAATATCCTGTCTTCAAGCTCACTAATTATTTCCCCAGCTTGATCGGGTCTGCTATTAAAGAACTCTAATATGTTCTTCAATGTGCCAATAACGTTTTTCAGCTCTAGAATTCCTGCTTGATTCTTTTTAATTATTTCAATTTCTTTGCTAAGTTTATCTGGTAGCATTCTGAATTCCTTCTCTGTGTTATCTTGAATTACTCTGAATCTTTTCAACATAGCTATTTTAAATTCTGTCTGAAAGATCACATGTCTCTGTTATGTGTGACCTTTCTCCAATATTGGTCCTTGGTGCTATTTTTAGTTCATTTAGGGAGGTTATGTTTTCCTGGATAGTGTTGATGCTAACCCCATTCTTTGGTGTCTGGGCATTGAAGAGTTATGTGTTTATTGGAGCCTTCACTCCGCGATTATTATAGTCATTCTTTTTTGGGAGGCTTTTGGGTATTTGGAAGGACTTGGGTGTTGTGATCTAAGCTGTATCTGCTACACAGTATATCCCAAGCCCAGTAAATGCAGTGGTTCCTGCATAGTCATAGAGGTTATTTGCTATCTGTAGATTAAGCCTTGGTGGTCTTGAACATAAACTGAGAGAATTCGGTGGATTTCCAGGCAGAGATTCTTGGTCTCTTCTCTTACTTTAAAAAATATATAGAGAGAGTCTCTCTGTCCTGAAGCTGGGGGTGGAGTAACACAAGCTCCACTGTGGCCCCTACCAGTATGACTACACTAGGTCAGAACTAAAGCTAGCACAGCTCTGGGTCTTGTTCAGGGTCTCTCTACCTCTTAGGAATTGGCAAAGCCATCCAGGCCTATGTTGTTCTTTTCAGGGCAGTGAGGTCTCCAAGGCTTCAGGTAGATTCAGAGGTGCTCTCAGGGAGTCAGAACTAGAGCTAAAAACCTTGAAAGTCTACCTAGTGTTGTATTTTACTGTGGCTGAGCTGGCAATCAAACCACAAGATGCAATCCTTCCTACTCTTACCTTTCCTTTCCAAAGGCAAAGGAGCCTCACTCAGTAGCCACCACCACTCCAGACCACAGTATTGCCAGACTACCACTGATGTTCTCTTAAGGCCCAAGGATTCTTACATCAGCTTGTGGTGAATGCTGACTGGCCTAGGATTCATGCTTCATGTAGGCTCTCCTCTGGCCCAGGGCAGGTCCATAGTGCAATCCAAGTGTCAAGTCCTGGAACTGGGGACTCCAGGAGCCTGCTGGTGCTCTACTACCCTGTGACAATGCTGGTACCTAAGGTATAAGACAAAGTCTTCCCTTTACTTTTCTCTCTGCTTTTCTCCAGTAGAAAGAGTTTTTCCATGTAGCCACCACAGCTGGTAAGGTGCTGAGTCTCTCCTGAAGCCACCATTTCTCAGCATCTCACCCAATGCCCTCAACATAGTTCCTGGGTATTGCTATTGGTTATTCAGGGCCCATGGGCTCTTCAGTTACCAGGCTATGAATGCTTCCAGGACTGGGTCCTTTTTTTCAAAGTAGTAGATTCCCTTCTGGCCCAAGGTATGTCTAGAAATGTCATCTGGGAGCTAGGGCCTGGAATGGAGTCCTCATGACTCTGACTATGACTTATCTTGCTATGACTAAGCTAGTGTCCAAGATGCAATACAATGTCCTCCCCACTCTTCCTTTCCTTTCTTTAAGTGGAATGATGGGGTGTCCTTTACAGCCATGAGCTGTGCAGCCTGGGGTTATGGGATGATACCAGTACTCCTTTGGCTGTCCCAGCTGGGATCTCAGTATGCCAGTCACATGCCTTGCCAATCCACAGTCTCTGGATCTAGTTCAACACCAGGACTTGAAGAATTGGCAGGTCCTGATGGCCTAGGCTACCTTTTAAGTTTATTTGGAGGCACAGAGCACTATATCCCTTGGTGGCGAAGTTTGGGTCACTGGGACTGGTGATTCCTGCCTTGCTAGGGCTGGTTTAAATGCTCCCCCTGTCAGTGGGCATCAGCTGAGTCTTGTGCAGTTTTGCTTTCTGCTCTAACAGGACACTACTGAGTCCAGTGCCTCACAATTGCCATATTCTCCTTCACCTAGTGCCCACAGTTGTTCTCCTGTCCTCACTACTGCTGCCAAGGTATGGGGAGGGTGGGGTGTAGGGAGAAGGGGTGGCATTGACCAATTAGGGCTCTTTATCTATACCTCATGGCCTTTTTCAGTCACACAGAGTTAAATCAGCTACTATGGGTGCTCACACAATTTTTTGTTATTATGAAGGTGATTCTTCTGTGTAGATAGTTTCTAAATTGCAGTCCTTGCAGTGGGAGATGATCGGTAAAGCCTACATTTCTGCCACCTTGCTCTACCCCAGTATAGTGTTTTAGATTTTTGTTTCTACAGGCTTATTGTTAACATATAAAATTAATAGATTTTTGATGGATTCTAATATCTTCTGATCTTGCGACTACTAAATGATTTAACATTTATTAGTTATAGAAAATTGTGTTTGCATTCTTTGGGATTTTCTATGTAGACAATCATGCCGTGTTCAAATAGAGAAAGCATTATTTCTTCCGTTTTAACCCGTGTGAATTTTATTTCTTTTTCCTGCTATGTTAAAATGGTTAGAAATTCAAGTGCTATTTTAATAAGGGAATAGTTTAACTGAACACCATTGCCCTGTTTGCAGGAACTCATCCAGTCTTTCACCATTAAGTATGATGTTTGCTGTAGGTTTTTAAAAATGCTCTCTGTCAA